TCGACGGATAACACCCTCCGAGATCTCCATAATTCTTCATATGATACGAAAGCCGAATTCAATAACTGTTTTATTATTCATTCAAAATAATTCCTAGTTTAAAAACATAGCTAAAACATACTTACCTTCATCGATCCATCGATGTTCAGTTCATCTTCGATAGTGTACGTTTAGGTTTGTCCAGCACCGCAAATATTCTCCAAATAGAAGAAGAAGAAGAAGAACCTTTATTAATTTATACCGCTCAGGGTAGCCCCTTCAGACGCAAAAAGCTGTCTGTTATCGATGGGAGCCCTGAGCAACAACGCACAAAAACACACTAAACATATAAACATTACACTAATACAGGTAATAATATAAATAGAAAACTATTTTCAATTAAAAGATTAAAAGATGTAAAACACGAAATATCATTAAGATAATTCGTTAAAAAGAGTGCAACCATAATAATAGTTCTCACGGCAGGCGGATGTCAGAGGTTGCTTTGTCTAGTAGCGCGCGCATGGATTGTATTATTACGTTTAAAATATTGTTTAAAATACTGGGGACATTGACCTTGCAGGCATTTCTTAACGAGTTTAAAAACAGCTTGACGTCGTCGCTCCTCCAAGGTGGGCCATTTCAGAACGTCCATTGCCTGCTTGCTGCGCACAGTACAAGCCACTATCTTAGCAGCCCGGTTTTGGAGGGCTTCAAGGTCTTGTTTACGACCTTCCCCGCAACAGGCCCACACACTTACACAGTATTCTAAAATTGGCCTAATTAGACTACAGTACACTACATTTGCACGCTCTCTAGTGAGGCTTCTGCCAAGCCTGCCGAGCATTCCTACGCGTTTTCCCGCCTTCGAAATTAGGTACTTTATTTGCTCGTTCCAGCTAAGGCGGTCATCAAAAACTATACCTAGATAAGTGGAGTGAAAAACCCGCTTAATTACATTGTTATTTAAAGTAATAGAAAAAGAGTTAACAGCAGATAATCTAGGGGCGGTTCCGAAAAGCATAGCTTCGGTTTTTTTACATTAACAAACAGACTATTAAAAGAAAGCCAGTGATCAATCTTAGACAGTTCGGCATTCAGCTTGTCTTGAATGACAGAGGCTTGAGAGGATGAACAGTATAAAACAGTGTCATCAGCGTACATCAGAATATTGCAATCGGACACTACTTCAGGTAAATCATTAATGTGTAGAATAAACAATAATGGTCCGAGGATAGAGCCCTGAGGCACACCAGTAGAGACGGCTACCGAAGCAGAAGTCACCCCTTGAAACCCTACAACTTGGGTGCGGTTCGACAGGTAACCGTAAACCAGCCATGCTCTTTATCCAAAATCCCCAAATTGGAACGCTTGTCCAGAAGTACCGCATGATCCACAGAGTCGAAAGCTTTGCGAAGGTCAATAAACACAGCACCAGTTAATTGACCTTGGTCCATGTTCCTACGAATATTATCAGAAAAACTAAGAGCAGCGAATTCTGCCGAGTGACACTTCCAAAACCCGCACTGATAAGGGCTCAAGATCTTGTTTTGCTGGAGATATTTGTAGAGTTGGATATGTACAGCCCGTTCTAAAACCTTAGATAGAACAGGTAAAATGGAAATCGGGCGATAATTGTCCATCTCATCAGCCTTTCCCTTTTTAAAGAGTGGAATGACCCGTGCGCATTTCCAATCTCTAGGAACTTGGGCAGTACGTAACGAGGTGTTGATAATAAACGCCATAGGCTTAGCTACAATGTCCGCAGAATCTTTTAACAGGCGAGCCGGTATGCGATCCAAACCCACAGCCTTCCCAGATTTCAGGCTACGTAGTTGAGACATAACAAACTCCTCAGAGATCTCAAGAAAATTAAACGGCGGATACTGACGGGCAGGAGTATCGGAATCACGCTGTTTATTACCACAAGTTTTCCGTAAAGTGGCCATCAATTTGCTTGCTGCAGATGCGAAAAACTTATTAAATGCGTTGGCAATGCATTGTTTGTCAGAAGAGACAACGCCGTCCACTTTAATGTTTGGAGAAGTAGCTTTCTTTTCTCCCGGTAGGATTTTCTTAATAAAAAGAAAATAGAAAATGTCGCCCTTCGAGGTGTCCTCTTGCTGTTCTTGCCATGTTTTTAGCTATTTTTTCGTCTAGTTCTTACTCTTGAAACGAGTGAAATGTCTGCCATTTTTTCAAGTTCAGAACCAAAACAACTCAACCTCGTCCCCAGGTCTTCTCGGTTAACGGTGCCTTAACCTGCGAAAACGCTGAATTTTTGACGTCATTTCCTCATTAAAGTCAAAATTCTTCCAAATCTGGTCATCAGTAACTGGTTATGGTGAATTAAACGTGTGCTTTTAGCCAATCAGAATAGGGGAAATATTTTCAATGAATAATAATAGATGTTAACGAGTCGTACAGTTTGCACAATTCAGTATTGACTACTGTTTCAATAACTTTCAAATTTTTTTCAGTAAAAAGTATATTGGTATCATCAGCGAAAAGATAGAATTTAAGTTCAGTAGAGCACTGGTGGATATCTTAAACATATAGCAAAAAGAGAAGAGGACCTACAACGGAACCTTGAGGAACTCCAAAGCTGACTGATTGATATGTGGTCAGCAATTTGAGTAGATGCTGTATATCATGTGTTTCTAAGCTCTTAAGTATTACGTGTCTACTTACTTACTTACTTACTATATATCCTTTGCATCAATACAGTGTCTTAAAACACCACAAGACTTCTGAGCTAGCTGTTCTGACCGATTGTAGCTCTCATGCACTGTCATTTTCGAGCAAAATCGTTCTTCCATCACACCGCCTGTTTGCCGATCACCCAGTAAAATTTCACATCTTGGACGACCTTGGAACAGCAGCCTCCCTCATAATCCCACAATGACTCCAACGGAATTACTAAACCTTTCAACCAAGTTGGAAAGATGACAAAACAGACACGGAATCTCCTGTAAGCCATTTGGAAATTCGATAGTGTTCATTCACCATCGTATGCATCCTCGGAGACCCAGGGGCAGATAAAGGGGGCGAGGGAAAGTCTAAACGGGCGGAAAATATATATGGAACAAAGAAAAGTAAAGAACGGCGAGAAGAGCCCCTGGGGACAATGTCTTACCAGACCAGTTCCAAACGATCGCCGCCGCTCTGGCTTCTGATTGGTGCCAGAAAAAAACAAGTTTTCTGTCACCAATCAGAAGCCAGAACTGCGGCGACCGTTTGGAACTGGTCTGGTAAGACATTGTCCCCAGGGGCTCTTCTCGCCGTTCTTTACTTTTCTTCGCGCCACATTTTTCCGCCCGTTTAGACTTTCCCTCGTCCCCACTATCTGCCCCTGGGTCTCCGAGGATGCATCGTATGTTATCTGTGGAAGTAAAGTGAATGAGCCACTAGCAAAGGGGTGACAATAACACCCTGGAAAAATAACAGGTTTTAATTTTTGAAAGGCTTGTTTATTATTATTTACAAATAGAATTTGTAGGATCATTATTTATCTAGTTACAACGGGCAACTATGGAAAATTCAAAGCCAGTTTTGTGATGTGGATGTGGAGGGTTTATACAGAAACTTGTCTCGGTAACTTAACATTTATTCAACTAATTAATTTGACTTGTCGATAAGCGAATTAGATATTCTCCCTAATCGTGTAACTTTTTGATGGCCTGCAAATCTTCAACTTATTTGCGAGTTGCTTTAAAGTCTTCTTGAACACTGCTACTCTAAAGCTGTAAATTATTGGGTTCACGGGAGAATTTGTAACATGTAGGAAATTGGTAAGGTAATTCATAAACCCAGGAAGCAAACCGAGCCACAAGTTATTGATGTTGTACAATGTCATGCTTAGAGCCCACAAAGTAACAGATGCGCCTATTACAATAAAGAGAGTCTTGGAGAATTTTGCGCTTCGTCCACACGCTTTCTACAGTCTGCTTTATTGATTGCAGAATTCCTGTCGTAAAGTCTTTTACGGATTAAGAGATACTACGAGCAAATTACAAATAAAGATAAAAAAAGTGATGATAGAGTAGGCGAATAAATATTGTCGAACGTATATGATACCATTCGTGGTTGAGAAACTAAGTGCACCTAATTAAGTGCACCTAGACTCAATCCAGCTAACCATATAATAGCCACGCTGTAGATATAAACCTTGGTGCTTGTTACTCGATGTCGAAGCGGCCAAATCAAGGCGAAGGCTCTTTCCAGTGAAACGAGTACAAGAAAAAAACTAACCCTATGGCTGTGTATTGAACGAAAGACAGTAGATTGTCTATAGATATTAATTACGGTGGCCAAAGCAAGCAGGGCAACAAGTGATAATAATGTCACTTTTCAGTCACCAATGAGTTATAGATGGGTATGTTCCAATTAAAAAGTAGTAAGTTCATTTTAGTTTGCTTAACACAACTTTATATTGCATGGAGAGAATTTGCAGCGAATATGATTACTGTGATAATATACAGGATGGAGGGAGGACATCCATAGTGCTGCAATAACAGTTTGTTTTGTTTGACTATATTCCTATAAATATAACGATGCTGTGGATAGTAATTAACATTCGTCAATTTGAATCTAATGTAAGTGATTTTCGATGTACAGTTCAGTGGGTGAGTTATCGAATATTTATTAAAGCGGATAGATGAATCCATGTGTGATTAATATATATTTGATTTCCTAATGTCTTTGAACATTCAGTAATATCTTTTACGGTACATGCGGCATATTCTAAAAAAAAAATTAAATGATTAGAGAGTAGCCGCACAAGACACATTTTCAGAGCATTTTGTTGGAAATACCGTATTGTGCCCTCGGGATGGCGCTAAAAGTCAGCTCGAAATTCGACAAATGTTTTTTATACCAATATAAACTTGCTGCAAATCGGCAGAGTGTTTTTTCTAAATTTGCATGAAATTGAGGATTATAAGATTTTTTACTTAGACTTGATCAACTAAAATACAGGTTGTTGAGGTGTAAAAGCTCCCTGTTAAAACGTGTCGAACATTTTAACTAAATGTATAACTCTTTGATCGCTCCACAACTTTAAGCTTATTTCTCACTTGTTGCATGGTTTTTTTGAATACTGGTATTCTTAAGCTATAAATTATTGGATTGACAAGGGAATTGGTGATAAGTGGCATTGTGAAAATGTGAATCACAAAATGAGGAAACAGACGTGGAAACCAAACACTGATATTGTACCATGTCAGGCTAGGAACCCATAAGGCAACAGATGCTCCTATCACGATGAAAAGAGTCTTGGAGAGCTTTGTATTTTGTTCAACACTTATTCTGCTGTGCGCTTTGTCGAAAGCAGGAGCTCTGTTGTTAATTCTTTTCCTGATAGACAGGTAAGACACACAAATCGTAATCAAGGAGAAACCGATGATGACCGCCGCACCAACCGCGAAATACGTTAAATTATAGATTCCAAGGAAAGCAATAAAACTGCTTACACCCATAGCTATCCCAGCTAACCATGCGATAACCACACTGTAAATGTAAACCTTGGTGCTTGTTACGCGATGACGAAGCGGCCAGATCAAGGCAAAGGCTCGTTCCAGAGAAATCAGAACAAGAAAAAATACAGATGCGGACGAGGATAAGATTTGAAAAGAAGGTGGAACGCTTTCATTGACTCCTTGGATTGTTTTGTTTGAGTCGATTTGATCTGCTAAAGTCCACCCACCAGCGACCTCCATTATTTCGGTGAGCCCAGTAAAGAGGTCCGCCACAGCCAGGTTGATAACGATAAAGCTTGCTCGCGTTAGTTTCTTTCGATGAACCCAGAAAACAAACACAGTGAAAGTGTTAGAAATAAAAACAAAGACGGATAGAAGACCAAGAAGGCACAAAACTACAATGGCTGCCGTATCATTTGTCATAACGACAGAGATAAAGTTACATGTCTGAGTTTCTTTTTTCGGAGAAGATTATAATCCGCATGAGAGCCTACCGGTGTGATAACGTTACCTGAACTACCTTGGCTTGAAAAGGCCCTTCATATTAACACAATGTACCAAGAGAGCTTCATGAAAGATAATGAATTGTTTAACACCAAGTCAATTTAATTTGAGAGACTGATTCACATATGTCACTTCAACACAAAAGGAAGAAGAACAAGATGATGATGAAGAACTGAAGGCCTTTATTTTGACATTGGGTGTAAATTAAGGAAATCTATTATCTATAGAAGAAAATAAACAAAAAATAAAACAGCTAACATCAGATATGTACAATGTTTACAGTACGAAACGATCAAATGTAAGAAAATTATCATTTCAATATTGGACAGGTGAAGCTAAAATAAGGTTGAAATTATAAATTATTAAGAAGGTTCTGTAATAACACCGAAGAAAATTTCTAATGGGAGGCCGAGAAAATTTAACGAATGTCAGATTTCACAAAATGACATCTTACACATGAAATTTTCAGAATTTTACCTGTGTTTTTACAATTCTTGTGAAATCTGACATTTATTTTCTCGGGATCCCATTAGGAATAGTTGGTGTTATTATAGATAAGAATTATATCTACAGCCCTTGAAAAAAGTAAAAAAAGAATGCGATATTGTTTAAATCATTCCGGTTCAAGGTTTTTGTCCACTCAAAGTTCAAATTACTCAATTTCCTGATGGATTCCGTTTTAACATGTGAATTCAGTTTCTAAAGATTCCATTAAATTTGCGGTCACCACCGCAAAATTCTTGTATTTAAAAGAAGTAAAAGAAAAGATGTGTAGTACTATAATTTAACACGAAAAAAAAAAAAAAAGAAGAAGAAAAAAAAAACACAAGCAAGAACAAGAACAATAAAATTACTGACTAATCATAATAAAACACAAAACATCGAGGGAAAATTTGAACTGTTTTTCTTTTCTGTTTTTATAAATATGGGCTAGCATTCTACCATCCTACATCCACAAATCCCAGGTTTTATCAATTGATGGTTTACATAAAATATTTCTTCAATCATTTATAAAAAGAGGAAAATAATTTTCTCGTTTGCTTAACCTGGCCTAAGTTGATGGTAAGAAAATGAAATTACAAAGAAATATTACAAACGCACCGCTCTGGTTTTTTCTTTAAATAATCTATGCTTATCAATTCTGACTGGCTTAGGGTTACGCGATTGGACTTTCATGGCTTCCAAGTTTGAGTAGTAACTAACAAAGATATCTCTGTCGTCCCCACTTCAAATCCTCGGTCACACTTGTAAATAGCCAATTGGTGCAGCCTCCCGCCAGTTGGGGTTTTTAGTAGAGAGCGTTAGATTCTAAGACGAGTAACACCACGAGTACGAGATTTTCTCAATACTAAGTAGTGTACGCGCGTGAACCAGCGTCATGTTGGCGGGAAAACGTGGTAGCCGTCGTCATTCTACTACGAGTTTTTGCGCAAATGTTGAGGTGGCGAAAACAAGATATCAAATTTAAAAGTTGTATCATTTTGCGATCGAGAGAGCGCGTAACCTGCTTCACTAAAAATAACAATGCTAACTTTTCTAGTGAAAAATGCTAAAATGAAGCTTTCCGGGAAGTCTACATTTTGAGAAGACGCGAAAAAACTTTAAGTACAATCTCGCACTCGTAGCCGTCCTTGTCCTCGAATCATTTCTGTTATGTTCTATTTGCATCATTTGTTTCAGAATTATTTGAGTGGAGTGCCTGTAAACTAGCTGGATAAGCTAAGTGCACTTTCCACTATAAGCAAACCTTTAATTTTTTTTGGACTCTAATACTCTGGCTCTAATTAATTTACCGTGTACCTTTTCGCTCGCTTGACAAGTTTTAGCTCGTCTCACAATTGTTCATAGCTTCTCCTGAATATTGGCATTTTAAAACTATAAATGACTGGATTAACAAGAGAATTAGTCAAATGTACCATTGTGGAAAGGTGAGCAACAAAATGAGGAAACAGGCTTGGAAACCATAGACTGATATTGTACCATCTAACGCTGGGAAGCCACAAAGCAGCAGATGCACCGATCATGATAAAAAGAGTCTTGGAGAGTTTTGTGTTTTGTTCGATGTTTATTCTGCTATGCTCTGTGTCGATAGCAGGAGATCTGTTGTTAATTCTTTTCCTGATGGGCAGGTAAGACACACAAATCATAATCAAGGAGAAACTAATAATGATTGTAGCAGCAACTGCAAAATACTTCACTTGGTATTTTCTAACTACAGCAAGGAAATTGAATACACCTATAGTTATCCCAGCTAGCCACGCTATAACCACGCTATAGGTGTAGACCTTTCTGCTTGTTACACGATGTCGAAGCGGCCAAATCAAAGCAAAGGCTCGTTCCAGGGAAATCAGCACGAGAAAAAAAACAGATGCACACGAGAAAGTTGCTACAAAAGGGGCTACAATGCTACCTTTCATCTCCGTAATAGTTTCGTTTGAGCCGATATGTCTTGAAAGAGCAAATGCTCCGACCTCTACAGTATCTGTGAGTCCAATAAGGAGATCCGCCACAGCCAAGTTAATAACAAGGAAGCTTGTTCGTTTCAATTTACTTTTATGGACCCAGAAAACAAACACGGTGAAGGCGTTAGAAATACAAACGATGATAGACAGAAAAGCGAGAAGGATTAAGGCTGCAATGGAAGCAGTATCAACAGACATTTGAACATACACGTGGATAACGTTAAAAAACTATTAGAAGTTTAAATAATAGCATTTGAAGCAGAACTTCCAGACCTTCTGGAGAATATTCTGTATATAGCCCAGTAGCGTTGTCTGATTTTATAGTTTTTGGTGATCGCTTTCTTTGCAGTGCCCTGCTACCTGTGGTGAAATGGTTGTTTATATAAGCACACCTTCACCTAAAAAGAGTTTCAATAAGCACAGTAAATGCATTACTTAACAACCACTCAGTTGTATTCTCGGCTTGCACCGTCACGCAATGAAAAATAAAAATGCAAACCATTCAATACAGAAGGACTAGAATCTGGGAAATGAAAAAAGATAAATATACAAGAACCCTTGCCACGAATCAGGTCTGTGAAATATTTGAAATGCGAGATATTGGCAAAAACGGTTTACCTAAATTTATAAAGCTTTGTATGGAAACGCCATGTTGGTGTCCCTTTCGGGAACACCAATATGGCCGCCGGATACCAACAGAAACATCTGTTTTCGAGTTTTCCTACTAATGCGTGAATTCTTCGCTTGAGGAACTCATAAAGATTACAGTAATATTTATTCTGAGACAAGGAATGTTTAGATTGCAAAATCTCCCAAAATCGGTAATGTTTTTAACCCACACAAGAGCTTTCCCGGCCGCCAGCTAAATGCCCCGTCACGCAAAAGCCTGGAAATTCAAGCGTCCTCTCTCGCAAAACGAAGAACCCTTTCGAACCAAAAATTTGTTTATGTAAAGGTGTTTAGGTAATGTAATACCTCGTGAAAGTGGAAACTCAGAAGAATCGATAGTTTCTTAGTTTGATTTTTGCTGACGTCACGTGCAACCCAAGAATATGAAAGACTGAATGACATATCTCAAAGCAAGACAAAAGACCAAGGGATGATTTGAACGCATTTTGCATCGCCTGAATGCGTTTACACAAGAGAAATCTCTTGGTTTACAAAGTTTGAAAAATCTAGCATGGCTTTTAAGGTTTACAATCAATATGCTAAGTAACATAATTTCTGATGAAATTAAAATTTGTGAAACGGAGTAATTATAAATACTAAATTAAACAGCAGAGACTACCAAAAATTTAAACGGCGAAGCCAAAGGGTCATGTAGCAGCTGCTCTGAAGAGAAGTCACCAATGGTGCCTAACCCCGGCCCCAAACAATACTAAAACAATTGAAAGAATGTCATTTTTCCTATAAGCAATTAGGAGAGACCTTCCGAGCATCTCCTATACTACCCAAGCCAAATTTTGAAATGAACTTTGAACAGGATTTTTTTTAATTAAATGTGCGTTGACATTAATTGTGTTACTACACCACCCTTAACTTATTTCTTTTCCTTTTTTAACCAAAGTACCTATAGTTTCCAAGAGAAATCCACCTTTGAACATAAATGAAAAAATCTGCCCATAGAATGATAAATCATGTTAAAATGATCAGGAAAAGAGTGAACTTTTATTTTCCTAAAAAAGGGTATTGTTTTCTGCTCATTAATCGATTCAAAAGATTTCATGACTGATATGAAATTAACTTGCTGCTAGGGGATATTGAACTTCATTGTATTTAAGATGAGATCCATTAGGAAGTTGAGTAGTTTTAATTTTCAGTTGACAAAAACCTTGTACCAGAACAATCTCAAGCATATTGTATTTTTTCACACTTTTCAAGGGCTATAAATGTAATTATAAGTATTATAATAAAACTCCGAAAAAAGGATTCTTTATATTGGAGCCCGAAAAAACGTAAAACAAACTTCAAAAGCCTCAAATTTTACAAAATGAGGTGTTAGCAAAGACGAATTTACCTGTACTGTGTTTTCTCAATTTGTATGAAATTTGATCATGAAATTCATTTTCTCAAGATCCCGTTAGAAATTGTCTTTGGTGTTTTTACAGATAACTAATTACATCTATAGCCCTTGACAAATTTAAAAAAGAATGTGATATGGCTTATTTTTCTTTTCTCTGGTGCAAGCCTTTTGTCCACTGAAAATTAATATAACTCAATTTCCTAATGGGTTTCTTCTCAGTATTTTTGAACCCGTGTTAATAATATATTTTACCATGACATATCCGCAACTTTTATTTATTTTAGGTTTTAACCATGGTTTGTTCACATAATATTTCCTTTATTTTTAATAGAAAAGGGGAATTTTTTTAACATTTTTCCCGCTTTCTGGATAAAACGCTTTCTTTAAAACTACATTGTAAAAAGATCGGGGACATATGAGTAAGAGTGAGACAAGAAATTAAAAAAACGATTTTGTTTTATTGCACATCGTTCTTGGTTATTTTGTTAAACGCTATAAATATAAGTAGATATTTCTCTTTTTATTTCGTTCAAACAATGTTAGCCTTTTACTTCGGCTTGAATTCTACTGCTATTATTTTTCAAAAAGGTATGAGTCAATCTTTAACCCCCAAAATAATGTTAAAATATTGTGAAGTCTAAATGCGGCGGCGACTCTGCCGATGACAATGTTGAAGTCAAATTTTAGACAAAAATCTCAAGCGGTTCATAAAGAGAAAAGAAAATAATGGAACTTAAAAAATTCGAGAAAACTTAAAAGACGCTTTAAGCATCATCTCCTGCTTTTATATTAAAAATGAAATGAAGAAAATCCTGTCGTCATCATTCTACGCCGAACTTTTCATGAGCCGAACCTAACTCGGAATAAGGCCGACCCAAGTTATTTAGACCAGCTGAATCGATTGAGGCGCCGATCTTAATTACAGCTGAACTAGGGAGTTCAGCAAAAGGCAAAACTACAGTAGACAAAATACGATTTAATAATTTATGCTTTAGGTTTGTTACATGAAAAGTTCTGCTTTCTGAATCAAAGCCTTTCCAAGGTCGCTCCAAAGGCTAAATTCCCGGCCGGGCAAGGCGAAAAGAGCGGCTGAGCCGTGTGAAATTGAAATAGGGCTTTGTTCCTATTATTCAGACGCGGAACTTTTCATGAACTTAATTCAATGTATTACGTTAACGTTCGACTCATGAAAAGTTCGACCCGAACCGCGCCCAGATTTCATTTTGCAAGTGTCGATCTCAGATTACAAAGCTTGGTCACTACTGAATGTAGATTTCTTCGATGTCTTGTGAATGTTTAACTTGTTTCCGAGTTGTTTCAAAGTCTTCCTGAATACCACCATTCTAAAGCTATAAATCATTGGATTAAGAAGAGAATTTGTCGCATGCAACATAAATAAAATGAAAGTAACAAACCTTGGAAACAAATTTTGTACTAAAGTTTTGATGATGTACAATGTCATGCTTGGTGCCCAAAAAACAATGGACGCGCCTATCACAAAAAAGATAGTCTTGGAGACTTTTATGTTTTGTTTCATGCGTTTTCTGGAGTCTGCTTTATCGATAGCAGGATTCGGGCTGTAAAGTTTTTTTCGGATTGACATATAACACAAGCAAATGATAAATAAAGACAAAACAATGACGACCGAGTAGGCGATTACAAAATTGGTTACAACAATAATCCCATACACGGTTAGCCAACTAAAAGCACCAATTGCTATCCCAGCGAACCAAACGATAACCACACTGTAAATGTAAACCTTGATACTTGTTACACGATGTCGAAGCGGCCAGATCAAAGCGAAGGCTCGTTCCAGAGAGATTAGTACGAGAAAAAACACAGATGAACCCGAAACCACGGCCAAAAATGATGTTGAGATCCAAACATAATCACTTTTACTTATGATTAATCCGAGGAGTACTGTTTGTGCAATCCCCACAAGGAGGTCAGCAACGGTCAAGTTAATAACAAGAAGAAAAGTCCGCTTTAATTTAATGCGATGAATCCAGAAAACAAATACAGTAAAGGTATTGGCGATGATAATGAATGCAGACTGGACAAGGAGAATGATCAAAATCGCTATCGTTGTCGCATCAGACATGGCAAGATAAAAGTGTTTAGTAAAGGTGATATTGTTGACCTGAAAGTATTGAAAGACTCTGTCCTTACAGACCGTTTTGAAACAATGATCAGAGTAAAAAGTAACTCTGAAAGGTTAAAACGTGTAATTGATGTTGGTAAATATTCATTTTCGCAAGTACCATATTTGGAACGTGAAGAAAGGATAACGGACCAATCAAATTGGAAAAAAACGCAGCACCATAAAAGCCTCATGAATCCTGGGAAGAATGAACAATCAAGGAAATGGGGAAAATCAGCGAAAGGTTGAGTTATAACGTGCATATAAAATAACCACCAAAGAACTCTGCGATGGCCAGGACATTACAGCTGTCGTGCAGCATTCGAGCTACTCGTCTCATCGAAATAAGCTAAAACGCACTTCGCATTTTCTTATTAACTTGGCTGTAGCGGATCTGCTCATCTGCTTCACAGAACCAGCAACGATCGGAACAGTTGGAATACCACAGCGATTTGGCCGCGAATAGTACGCAATGAATCAGCAGCATTTCAAGCTATATGCGTGACCACTTTAAATTTGCAATTGTGGTCTGTCTCGTTCTTATTTCGTTGGAACGAGCGTTTACATTGGTTTGGCCTTTTCATTATTATTATTACGGGGCACCCAACGAATATTTTTCTGAAAATGAGCCGTTAACTACAGAAAACGAAAATTTAGACGCTTTTAAGGCATTTTCAAGCGCTTTTCTGTGTTGCTGGAAAGAATTTATCTGTTCCTCACTCCCAGCAGGTTAGATGGCCATTCTCCCAGCCAGCAGAGCGGTCTTTTCCATGTTTACCAGCCAGCAGAAAAAAAAAAATACAGTATTCAAATAAGCGCCGCAGGGTTGCTTGGAATTTGCGGCGCTGATTCGAGTATATACGGTAAAAATTAATAACACACGGCCTTATCTCTCGCTTGTCAACCAAGAATAACAACAACTACAATGGTAATGAAAAAGGAATGTCACTAAGCCTTCCCTAGATGTACCTTTTGTGAATCCTATTCAGTCCAACTTAAATATAATACATCAGGCGGTTTAATAGGTTTTGACAA